ATCCTGCGCTAGCCCGTCCCTAATTTAGTAGTGTAAGACTAGAGGGAAGGCAGCTAGTCACCACACCCACCGCCAACTCTTGGGCTACTCTTTTAACCAACGAATAGTGGGATTGACCGTCACAGTATAACGCCCCAACGGCTGAAAGGGCGAGCATGTTTAGTGGGACGGGGATTCGATCCCGCGACCCGCAGATTGCGAGTGGAGTGCCCTAACCACCTGGCCATACCAGAGTGAAGTAAACGAAGAACTTAGAAGAAAATATAAAATAGAGAGAATGCAGAATACGCTTTCAGACAGTTCTATGGAAGATATTAACCAAAAGAGAATAAAACAGGCAATTCAATGTCACGGTTTTACTTTGAATACTTTCACTTTCAGGAAACTGATGTCAAATCAGAAAAAAATCAATTCACTACTTGTTATAGATTTATTTCATAATTTCACGCAAAGCTATATAAAAGATATCTACGCAAAACCATCCCTAATTTTGAATTGGCTGACCATAGGCGAAGATAGCTAGTCAACAGTATCCACCGCTAACTCTCTGATCAAATAGTAGGATTTGACTGTCATTCTTATTGCGCACTTACCACTCCAAAGTGAGGAACGCGCATTTGCAGAAGCAGGTTGCAAACCATGAATCCTCGGATTCACAATCCTGGCACGCTAACTACTACCGGATGAAGAGTTATACAAGACAAGTCATATTTAATGTTTTATATTTAACACGGATGAGAACTTTTTATTTGTGAAAAGTTCATTTCCATTCTCTTACATAGAGTAAACAACATATCGAAAGTAACCATCATACAGAAATAAAAAAATCCCGGCAACATTTTTATGAACTGAGTGCATTGTGGTTTATTTTTAAAATGATTTGCATATGTTGTTTCAAGAACTTCAGATAGAGTAGACATAGTAAGTTTGAGAATTATACAATTTGCATATAATCAAGCTATATAAAATATTCAAATTTTAAAAGATGAAAAGTACTGATAGTTTTCTTTTTTTTACACTCGGAAAAAATAATATCAGTAAAATACAAGAAATAACTAATAGCTGGCCGTGGCTTAGTAATTATAATCCCTTCTTTCTGGAAAATTGTACTAAACTTCAGTGTCTTGATTCTATTTTACAATAGCTTATACAACAATTTCGTACTATATTTTGGAGTGCATTCTAATTATTTTTATGCATATTATGACCCATTCGTTTCTTTTGCTTGTGGTTTAAAATAATGATGCATCTACAATGCTAATCTAACAACAATTAATTATTTGAAGGGAACCCTTGAACTTTCGGAATAAAAATAAAAAATGGGGCATAAAGATAGACAAATACACATTATTTTTTGAACAAAGGCGCTACTTCTCACGATAGGAATAACGTCCTTTGGAGCTATACTGCTTGTGACGGCACTCGTATACTTTCGTACAGAGGTTTTTTGCAGCAATGGTAGAGTTGTAGACATACATTTGCAGTCGTCTTATAACACTCAGTTTAATGACATTGGTAAAAATCGTGTATATCATTTAACATTCAAATTAGTTGCATTCTTCCCTTTAGAGCAGAGCTGTCCATCTGGCGGCAGTGGGCCACATCCTTCCCGCGACACGGTTTCAACAAACCCTTGACTATTGGAAAGATCATTTTGTTAAAATTTAAATATATCATTTATTGCACTTTTAAAGAAGCTAACTATTATTCGCATCTTAATGTCACATCTTTCCCTGGAACGGTAGAGATATATGACATATCACGACATTCAAATATAATCTCAGGATCTACAATATTCTAGATTGTTAATTAGCAATCCGTTCCGCGAGTGTATTGTTAATTAGCAATACAACCCCGCGAGTGCATTGTTTTGCAATCCGGTCGCTCCCGATTTAAACTTGGACTTCACAGCAATGTGCAGTTTAAAATTATCATCTACTAACTTTAACATTTAGTGGAAAAGATAATAACAATATTATTTTCAGTACCTATTTTACTAGTTGAAATATCAATATGGACAACAAGTTTTCAAAATTATCAAGAATTGCTCATACGTTAGACTAATGACAAGTTTATAACATTTTGTTCGTTCTCAATACCAATTATCAGCGGTAACTTTACAGACTTACAACACTAAAATCGGTTCGGTTCCTTGCGGTGGTTTGTTGGTTTGTTTGTTTCTGAATTTCGCGCAAAGCTACACGAGGGCTATCTGCGCTAGCCGTCCCTAATTTAGCAGTGAAAGACTAGAGGGAAGACAACTAATCATCCCCCCACCGCCAACTGTTGGGCTACTCTTTTACCAACGAACAGTGGGATTGACGCACTCATCGGGCGACTTTTAAGAATGTAAAAATGACTCCATATTTTCAATGTACTTCGAAGCATTTCATTCAGGTTATTTTCGCAACATTTGATTTTCTTCGTGATCTAGAAGCCTCGAAATTTACATCATCTTCGCACCCCATACCATAGTGACATCTTTTCAAAACATATACCTGAGAGGCGATAAGAGCTACAGCTTCTGGGTGGTTCAATCGGAGTCCACGAGCCAATCGTTTCTGAGCTAAAAACCCTGCCTGATGCACAAGAAGACCTTCGAGTTCTCTTGGAGATAAGCGCATGGTAATACAATCCTAAAAAAGGAAAGAAAAGGCGTACCAGTCAGGCTATAATGTAAAAATCAAGATAAACAGTGTCAGAATTCTAAGCACAATCGCACTAATCGTGAAACACTTTAATGAATGAACACGATGGCGCTTTATCAGATATATATGACACAAATAATGAATTTTAAATTTTGTATTGTTACTGTTGTTTTTTACCTTTTTTGAATCCAATTTACCAAAACAATAAGACACAAAAAGTAATTCTTTAGAATTAAATTTGACGAATCGAGAATCCTGCTAAATTTAAGGAACAAAAACAACAGATTCTACGAACTTCGTGTACGAATGACAAACGATTGTCATCAAAAACGAATCTCAAAGCTTTAACCTTCACTGTTGAAGAAACATACTTAATAAATGTTTTAATAACATGTTTCGATTGATTTAATAAAATATTTTGTGTATATTTTTTCCGTGTGATAGGGCGTTGATAAATGTACTCATTATTTATTCATAGTCAACTTCTAAAAATAAAAACAATTTATTACAACAAAGGAACAAAAGTGTTAGTTTCTCGTAAAAACACACTGGGGGTTTAGTGTTTTAAAATCTTGCAATGCGAATTACTAATTCATAATGCTTTTAGAGTTAAAACAGAAAAACATTTACAATACTGAGAGACCATTATGCTTTTTTAACGAGATATAACCAAAATTAGATTTATTTTGTTTTAAAACAAAATAGTGATTTATTTGGAAAACTAGACTTTCGAAAAATATTTTTTAAATTATTCTTTGAATACAAGTAACTGTGTAATTTGAAGATCTGGAGCCATTACAAAACGTCGAAACATAATTTTTTTTGAGAAATGCAAAGCAACTAAAAATAAACTTCTTTAGGAAACAGTAATTCAAGTAAAAAAACATAAAAAATGTAATAACTAAGGGATAAATAATGCTGAAATAACATCACGTTATACAATTTTCATTCGTTTAAAACACACCCTAGCTATACGTAGTGATTGGCCCCAGATTATTGTGTGTTGCATTACAAAATTACACACAAGTTACCTTAACTTAAGCGGTTTTGCATAATAAGGAAGTATCAAACCGAACGGACCATGTTTTACCGCTCAAATATTTCAACAGGATTCTGCAAGGTACTACGTATACCTCAATAGTTCTTAAAATACATCAGTAACGCAAATGTCGCATTAGAAAAATAAAAAATTACAACTTGCGACTTGCGTATTCGTGAAATGTTGTGTGATACAAAGAATGATACATACATGTGTGTGTGTGTGTGTGTGTGTGTGTGTGTAAGATTGCAATTTTCTTTTATTTATCATAGTAATTTTTGTTTAAAATAAGATTATACTTACAACACTTCTCACAATAACTTCTTAACAGATGCTTAAAAAACAACTAATAACCCAATCTGTTTTACTCTTACAGGATTAGAATTGTTAGTACAACAAATACTCGATATCCGCAGCTATCAAGAATGGATAAAGCATTTACATTTGGGTCACTTTATAAGAATAACAAAATAAGCGCTCCACATGCAGAGATCAATCGAACGAAAAAAATCAAAAACGTACAACAATCCTATGCAAAAGCAAAATTCTAACATTGCTACTGGTTATTCCCTTTATAAAACAATACAAAATGGAACATTAAATAATCATAAAATGTCTATCTTCTTCTGAAAAACTGAAAGTAGGTTAATGTTGGCACAGCAGGTGAATGAACGTGTCAGCTCTTATTGTTATTCGTTAACAGTAACATGAGCGAAGTTCGCTTTACACCCTTGAGAACGTCTACTATGTGATTGAACGTGTCAACTCTTATTATTATTCACCAATACTAACATGACCGAAGTTCGCTTTACACCCTTGAGAACGTCTACTAATTGAATGAACGTGTCAACTCTTATTATTATTATTGTTATTCACCAATACTAACATGACCGAAGTTCGCTTTACACCCTTGATAACGTCTACCAGACCACTAAACAACAACAAAGATATGCATTTCTGAGCACATCTGCTCTAGACATGTTATTAACGATTCGGTTTTACTGCTCAATATATAGTACAAGTTTGTAGATAACATTTCACTATCTCGTACTACTTACACTGATTGTTACTTTCACTTGAATAAAACAGTTGAAACTTTGTTCTCCTTGTTAATCACTCACACCTCTATTTAAACAGTTGAAACTTCGTTCTCATTGTTAATCACTCACGCCTCTATTTAAACAGGTTGTTACGACAGCGAAAGTCAGGTGACGCTGGTAGCACGTGATGAGTTTCTAGAAGGAACATCACGAATAATCCAGTATTTGCTAGACGCCCTCTATTCCTGTATATAAGCGCGCCAGATAAAGCGAGACAAAATATACAAGAATAGAGGGCGTCTAGCAAATACTGGATTGTTCGTGATGTTCCCCGATCCTTCTAGAAACTCATGACGTGTTACTAGAGTCACGTGACTTCCACTGTCGTAACAAGGTGAAACTTCGTTCTCCTTGTTAATCATTCACGCCACTATTTACCTTGTACTATTCTCATTCGTGTAGGGAATAAAGTTCTAGATTTAGACACCTTCGTAATGTAATGTTAGTGTTGACTAGAACACACTGATTCACCATCATGTTTAAAGATAAAATATTCACTTAAAATCTGTCGTCACACAAACGACTGTGCGCATGATCATTTTGTTCTAAGTTCCAGTTAACCTTTCATAGAACGGGTTGCGTTCGTTTTGTCACAAGGGAGAGGGTGGTTGACCAATGTTTGCTTTTAATGATTCAGATGCTGACTTGCATAGGCCAAGAAATACCTTAGTTTAATATACTAAATGTTAATAAGCATGATTAAAAAAAAAGAAACGTTTAAGGCTGTGAGAAAGAATATGTGGTCAATGTTCCATCGCGGCTTCCTTAGAGATCGTTTACGTAAAATGTTGTTCATATTTTCTAGAACTTTTAAACTTTAATATTTAGTAAGCTATTACTAGCTATTATCTTCCTATGTAATATATACAAGTAATGTAAGCCTGTACATTCCAGAGTGTGTAATACTTGCTTTGATAAAACACGTGAAATTAATGTATAAACTGAAAATTTCTAAAATATAGGAAAAATTCATTTTCGTCAACCTGACTGTGTTCAGGACTTACTGAACATGTTCATTTATTGTATTTTTTCTCTCTTTCAGTTCTTCATGTGAATGTTGCGTGCAAACGCCTTGATATTTTAAAAAAGTGGTAACGGTATTAATATCACTGAAAGAAAATGTCACCAGTAATAATGCACTATTTATTCTCGGAAATGAAAAAAATATATACAAACATTGTTTCATTTTTTTAAACTTTTGAATTAATCCAATAATTTGTTCCCCTTTGCATTATTATTAACACAATCACTTCTCCCCCCCCCCCTCCTTTTCCAAATTTTGATGTGCGTCTCCTTAAAATTGATCAACAACATTTGGAATACTCGAAATATCACGTAATGTCACGTAAAATATGTATAAGAATTGAATCTGACCTTTTTAAGATTCATATCTATTCTTGTTATGTAAACACATAGAATTACACTCAATGTTTTAGAAAACGCGGAAAGATTGTTTCTTCTAACCAGCGGCAACTACAAAACTCCTATAATCTCTGGTATAACAAAAGTAAAATAAAATAAAGCTATTAGTAACTTATTTACACTTTTATTCTAGCTTTATGTCTCCATCAATGTTTTATTTTCCTCTTCCCACCCTCAATTCAATCCCATCTACCTCCAGAAAAAAAGAATTGCTCCTCTGTGGCAATGTTTCTCAGCCTTTGATTTTTTTTCGCTCGAAACACCCCTACACGTAGCCTACAATTTTCACTGCACCCCTAACGTTTTATAGCCTGGTTAACAGTGACTTAGCCAAAGGAGGGGTCAATATTTTATTAAAAGTTTGTGGTACCCCGGTTGAGCAACACTGCTCTATGAGCTTCATTGAACGTTGTTACCAGTGTCC